CTACCCCCCAACCCCAGCCCCCGCGCCCACCAGCGGCCTGTCATGTTGGCTCATGGCAACCTCGGCGTTGGTCGCCTCGTGGCGCTGAGTCAGCGTGCGGCCGTGCACCTGGACCTCCCGTGAGCGCTCATACCGCAGGGCGCCAAAGTTTTCCACCTGGGGGGTGGCGATTGTGATTACAGGGTTTGAGGATAGACGGTGATCAGGCTCACAGGGAAGTATGAGGGTTGGTGATTGAGTGCCGTAGAGGGGCTGCAGGTGTGGCGAGGATGCGCTGGGTATGTTGCACGCAAGAGCGTGCGCGTGACTCTGCATGTGCGCGTGCGTGCATGCGTGCGTGCGTGCGTGCGTGCGTGTGCAAGTGAGCACGCCTGTGCAGGTGCATACATTCGCCAGTGTGCACGCATGTGTTTTTAGGGTGGGGGCTGCCGGCAGTGTTTGGCGTGGGGTGGTCATAAACGCGGTGCCCGTGTCAAAAGGAGAGGCGTGGGGGCGGGGACAGTACTGCCTGGCGCCCTCCACCCCCTCTGCTTACACCCCCCCCCCCTCCGCCTGCACTCCTGCCCCGCACCTGCGCCGTGAAGCCAAAGCGCGGCTGGCTGGCCCTGAAATTGTACTCGCACGACACTGCATGGTGAAAAGGGGTTTGTTTTTTGTGATCGTTTGGATTTCGTCGTTCAAGTGCCACGGGTGTGGGGGTGGTTGCAGGCAGGTGCTCCAAAAAGCTTGACGAGTGGCAAGGCATGGGATTCGGGAATGTGGCTGGTTGCTCTGAGAGCTACAGGGGCGGTGGCGACGAGGGCCTCGGATAGATAATCCAGCCGCACAATGCCGCACGAGCGCTGGGGCCCCAGCAGAGGGGGTCGACACAAGGCTGCCCCGCGCGAGCCTCAACGCCGTTTGGCGCAGAGCAGCTGCGCGGCCGCGCACGCGTCGTTGCGGCCCGAAACCTTTTAATGGGTCCGCTTGCATTGAGGCCAGCCCCTAAAGCACGCTGCCTTGCTTTGCCCGATGGCGCCGCCCCATCTGGCTCACACGCGTCAAGCCGCCACACGCTTGGCGCAGGCTCGCGCAGCAAGCGCCTGCCGCCCCCGCGCCATCTCGCCCACCCAGCTACTGCTGCGCCCCACGCCCCACGCCCCACGCCCCGCGCCCGGATTCAGGCCATGAGCGCGCGTTGGGCGCATGCGGTTCCCCCACCCAACACACAGACACACAGACACACAGACACACAGACACACCCCCACACCCCCCCCCAAACACATACAGATACGAACCTGCGAGCGCCAGGCTGGGCTGAAACCACGACTTGAACGCGGCGAGCAGCGCAACGCCGTCAGACCCCAGCCGCCCCTTGAGCAGGACGTTCTTATTGGCCTGGAGAGGGGAGCACGCGGGCGGGGAGAACGCATAGTCAAGATACAGATACGTTATGCCTCATGCAAACTTTTGACGGCCGCGCTCGCAGGCGTGGTCGCGTATGTAAATTTGGAATTTCAGAGGCCGGCAGCAGGCGCCGGCGCAACTTGGCCGACACAAGGCGCGGCGGCCGGCGCGGGGCGGGCCGCTCTGCGGATGTGAGGCGCTGCGGCCGAGTGCGACGTGCGCCGGCGGGAACGTCGGGAGCCTGCGTGGGAGTGCGAGGCGCGCGGGCGCTGCGGGCGGCCTGAGCCTGGCGCGGCGCGCGGCGCGCAGGGGCCAGCACCTGCCACGACGCCGCGATGCGCAGCCCAGTGGTGTCCCCGCCGCCCTCGTCGCTCGTGGCGAGAGGCACCTGCGCACGCGCGCGTGCAGACGAGAGCAGATCCACCCATCAAGCGAAACGAGCGCCCCGGGACGGCCACCGCTGCAGCGCTTGCGGGCCCAAAGCCGGTGCCAGCCGCGCGCGCCCGGTGCGACGACGATCCATTCAACCATCCCGCAGCTGCACGTCCGCACGCAATCCCCTGTGGCACGAAGGAGCGGCTACATACCCCGCACCCCATCCTCATGCTCGCCTCCAGACCCATCCCTGATCTGGCACCCTGGGTGTCACTCTAGGCACCTCAAAACCCTTCTGTGCCCCCCTTCACTCAAACCGCGCCGGTGTTGGCACCCACACCTGCAGCTGCATGCCAACGTCGATGTAGTTAGTAATGCCGATGACTGAGTCGGACTCGAGGGGGTTGAACACCTGGCGCACCGCGGCCATGTGCTGCGAGGGGTGGGGGTGGGGGTGGGGGTTGTGCGTTTGGTAGATTAGGATGGCGGGTGTAAGCGGATGTGGAGGGCCGAGCCGGCAGCAAGTAGGTGCAATGCTGGCGCACCAAGGGCCGAAGTGCGCCTGGGGCTCTGCCCGCATGGTGTGCCCCAATCAAACGAGAGTGCGCGCACATACGCGCGCACACACACACTCACACACACACACACACACACACACGCACGCGTGCGTGCGTGTGCACACACGGGTGCGCACTTGCGTGCGTACACACGCACGCACAGGCGCACTCACACATATACACACACCCACACCCACACACGAACACACACACACTCACACACACACACACACACACACTCACACTCACACTCACCTGGAAGAAAGACATGATGAAGCTGCGCCCCTCCTGCATTTCCATGGCCGCCGTGAACGCCGGCTGCCCGCCCCGCGTCCGCCCGCCCGCCGCGGGGGAGTAGGCGACGGCAACGCTGCTGACCGCGCGCAGCCACTCGGGCGCGCCGCCGGCGGCGGCGGTGGCGGATCTGAGGGCGCCGGACACGTCGTGCAGAGCGAGGCACGGCCGAAGCTGGAGGCCGGCTGGACAATTGTTGTTAGGGGGGGGGCGTTTGTAGAAGGGAGTGGGGGATGAGGGGCGCGTTTCAGGGTACGATTTTTGGTGCGTGTTTGAATTTGGGGCTGGGGGGTGCGGGGCGACCAAGGGGCATTTGTGAGGCGGAGAGGGGCCGCGCTCCCGAGCAGGTGCGTGGGGCCCTGGTATGCGGTGCGGCTGGAGCTGTCGGTGGAGCAAGATGGCGGCCGCCGCGCAGACCGGCGGCGCCGCAGCGCGCCTGCTGCTTCTAGAGGGAGCTTCCGGCCCGCGGGCCGTGCGGCGCAGGCCTTTTTGCAACCTGCGGGTGCGCATCTGCGCCACACCCGCCCCCGGCCCTAAAATGACACGCGCAACGCGCCGCTCCCGCAGGGGCCCCCACCTGTGACGCCGTCGCGGCGCCCCACCAGCCACAGGGCCTCGAGAGTGTTGGTGGCCGGCTGAATGATGGCGCCGCTGCTGAGGTCGGGCGAGCTGTAGCGCACCCCCACCTGCGCGCGCTTGCCTGCACGCGCGCGGTTCGGGGCAATGTGTGGGTGTGGGTGTATGTGTGTGTGTGTGTGTGTGTTTGTGTGTGTGTGAGGGAGTGTGTGTGAGAGAGAGGGTGTGTGTGTGTGTGTGATCGGGGGTAGGGTAATCCCACAGGCGCAGCGGCGCGGCGCGGCGGGTGATGCCTGCCATGAGTCGTCAGATGACGTGGCGCTGACTCATTTGCCCTTATGAGGACCGCCCCCAGCAGCAGGACGTGCGGCGACGCTGCCAGTCGCCGTGTGAGGTCCGATGAATCCACAACACACTCCAATGTGCATTCAAGCTCGGGGCGTGTTTCATGCTTATCAACGGCAACCCTGCAACTTGTTCGCTCTCTCAAAGCAAACGTCGCCGGTCAGAACACGCCCCAGCTTCCGACCAGCTTCCTGCCGCGGCCCACCTGACACGTGCTTGGCCATGGGCAGAGTTGCGAACGCCCCCAGGCCGCCCTCAGTGCTGAAGCCGCAGAGCCGGAGCGTCACGTCTCCTGCCGACTGCGAGGGGGCGCGGGGGGGGGGGTGAGAAGGTGGGGGGACAAACCCTTGGAAATGCGCTTGTGGGATGACGTGACCACGAGTGTCACGGCCAGGGCGGACCTTGTCAGCGGCAGGCGCAAGCGTGGGCTGCGCGGCGGGCTGGGCCAAAGCTGCGGTGCGGGGGCGCGTGCCGGGCGTCCCCGGCGGCGGGGGTGCCGCCGCGCGGGCCTCACCCTGGGGCTGGCCTTGATATCGGCGAAGCAGAGGGGCTCCCGCAGCCCCAGCGGCTGGAACCGCAGCGACAGCGTGCCTGCCCGGGCGGCGCGCGGCGGCGCGCGCGAGGGGCTCGTTCCGAGGCCGGGAGTGGGGACGGGGGCGCGGAAGCGGGGCCGGTGCAGGGCGAGCGGGGGCGTGAAGGCAGGCGTCCCCTCCTGCCGCTCCAAACCCTGGCACCTGCATCTTCAGATCCTATCTTGGCTTTCACGCTGATGCGGGGGTCGGCGCTGGGCGCGAAGAAGAGCACGCTGTTCAGGCCCTGGGTTGGGGTTGGGGGCGGGCGCGGCGTGCGATGCGGCGACGCGGCGACGTGGGGGCTGGGAAACAGCAGTGGGGAGTGACGAAAGGGGATGGCGCAAGGCAGGGGGCGCGCGTTTGCGCGGATTGAGGGGCGGGGGGCGGGCCCGTCTGAGCGGGAGGGCGGGCCTGCCCCGTCGAATCCTGGCTTCAGGACGGTCTGCAGGCGCCTCAATCCAGTGCACGCCTCCCCCCCCCCCTGTGCTGTCATGCATGCAGGGTCAACGAAAGCAACAGGCGGGCGGCGCCGCGCCCCCCATGGGCTGGCCCCCACCTGGCCATAATAGTCTTCAAACAGCCACCTCAGGGCCGGCTTTGCGAATTGGTAGTCAAAGGACGATTTGGCCTGCGCGTTTGGGGGTCGTGGGGGACGGGGGTGCATGTCGTAGGATCGGCGAGGCCAGGGAAGGGGATGAGGCTATAAGAGAGGAGTGGGCTGGGGTTAGGTGGGTGGGGGCTCGATCCGGCTGCGGGTTACTCCATTGCCTTCAGCAACTAGGGCAGCGCAGGACAGTCCCAGCAGTATTTGGCCATGCGTGGGGGCGGTTTGCGGCCCGGGTGCGCGCCCGCATGCGTCACTGACTCACCATGCGGCTGCGCCCCTTTAGATCCCGCTCGAACAGCGGCGGCACCAGCTGCGCGCGGGGCAAGGGGGGTTTTGAGGGTGGGCGCAGCTCGTCTGCAGCCGTTGCCGAGGGCAGGGGGCGGGCGAGCTTGAGCGCACGAGCGTGGCGGGCCAGCGCATGCAGGCGGTGCCGGCCGCTCGCAGCTCCGCGGCCACGCACCACCGTCTTGGGGGGCTCCTTTGGGGAGCCAACCAGTAGCTTTGAGTAGTCCAGCCCCATGGCGCGCGCTGCCGGCGGCGACGCGTTTTGTATGCCGGGCGGGCTGGATGCCGGGCGCTTGTCGACCGCGGTAGCAGATCGCACTGATGCTCCTGGTCACCGGCCTCCAGAGAAGGTCACAACGCACTCCAGACTACAAACGCGCTCCAACGCGACCAATGACGATGGCTCATGCACGCATGCATCCCCTTTTTTGCGGGTTCCACCTTGAACCGAGGGCAGCAGCTGCCCAAGAACGCATTCAGGGCGCCCGGCAGTTGGGAACTTGCTCAGCATGAGTGCAATATTGATTTGGACTAGAACGATTTGCTTGTCATCTAATCCGCAAAGCCGACGGTGCCGCGCGCACTCATTTAGATCGCGTCTGGGAGGCCTGGCGCGGGCAGGAGGCGCGCAGGAACGCGGGCATGGCGGACTCTAAGAAGCCTGTAGAGCTGGAGGAGGGATGGAAGGACATGCAGGTGATCAGCGCTGCTGCAATGGAGAGAGCACTCTTGTGAAACAACAGGCCGCTGGCCAGACGCTTCTCCAGTTGCACAGCGCATGCAGCGCGTACATGTGCATGTCTCGAGCTGGTTCTACCCCTGGATCGCACGCAGGCGGGCATAAACAAGCTCATCAGGATCCTCGAGGGCGAGAACGAGAGCCAGTTCAATGCAGAGCAGTATATGAAGCTGTACACGTGCGTAGGGGTCCATAGGCAGCGGTGCGGAGGCTGTGCAGGCGTGCGATCGCTGCGAGGCATGCAGAGCTCGTGTGCGCCACGCGCGCCGCCTTGTGCTTCCGCGCCTCGTGCAGGACGATCTACAACATGTGCACCCAGAAGCCACCGTACGACTACTCGGAGCAGCTGTACGGCCGCTACAGGGAGGCATTCAACTCTTACATCAACGACAAGGTGTGCGACGGCAGTTGAGGCTTCGCAGCTGGGTCCCCGCAGCAGCGGCCCCAGTAGCAGCCACGGCCGCGTCCATGCTTGCACGCCCTCGCGCATTCCAATGTCTCCGGCCCAGAATGCGACTTGATGCATGCTGCGATGCACCATGGGGCATCCATGCAGCCGCTGCGGCCCTCGGGGCATGCATGCGCAGCCGTCCGCCCGTAGCTGAGGAGAGCGCGCTCGGCTGGGCCGCCGCCGTCGCCGCCGCCAGGTGCTGCCGTCGCTGCGGGAGCACCGCGAGGAGGTGCTGCTGCGCGAGCTGTACCAGCGGTGGTGCAACCACAAGCTCATGGTGCGGTGGCTGTCGCGGTTCTTCAACTACCTCGACAGGTGGGGGGGGGCAGTGGGGTGACGCTGGGGGTGGAGAGGGTTCAAAAACGGGGGTGCCCCCACCGGTTGTGGCAGGGGGCAGACGGTTTCAGGCATTGGCAGCCTTGTCATGCAAGGCGTTTTATTGCAGCGCAGCTGCGTTCTGGTGTAGCCGAGTTGGATGACTGCACGGCAGCGGTCGGCGTGCACCAGCAGCGCAGCAGCGCAGCAGTGCAGCAGGGCGCTGGCGCGGCAGGCAGCAGCCGCGGGAGCGAGGCGCCCACGGCGCCGCAAGCCCTCCGGCCCTGCGAGCAGCTGCGGGTTTGCGGCCGCAGGCGTGGCCGCTACGCAGGTCGCGCCCACAATGCAGGTCGCGCCATCCAACCCCTCGTTTGCGCTGCTCGGGTGGAAACAGGTACTACGTGCTGCGGCACTCGCTGCACCCCCTGAAGGACGTGGGGCTGCTGTGCTTCAGGGGTGAGCGGGCTTTCCTTGTTGGACGCGCGGCGTGCGTGACGCGGCAGCGGGCGCTGCGCGGCATTGGGAACTACGGCAGGGGGGGGCTCATCGTTGACCAGGCCGGAGCGCAGACAGGCCAGGGCCAACGCACGCGTGCATGCATGCATACATTTGATGCATGTGCTTGTGCGTCCGCGCACACGAACATGCACCCTCCAACACACACACTCACACACAACCCTACGCACATCCACCCCCGCAACCCCCAAAGACCATGTTTACGTGGAGGTGAAGCGGCGCGCCAAGGACGCGGTGCTCAAGCTGATCGAGCGCGAGCGCGAGGGGGAGCTCATAGACCGCGCGCTGGTCAAGAACATCCTGGACATCTTCATAGAGGTGCGGCGGGCCAGGGGCGGTTTGTTTTGTGGGGGGGGGGGCATGGGCCGGACATTTGGGGCTGGGATTGTGCAGGAGTGGGTGGTGGTGATGGTGGTGGCGGCGCGCGATGCGGCATGTCAGAGGCGTTGTCGCGCGGAGGGGATTGAGGTTTGCGGACCGGTTAGCTCCAAAGGACCACGAAAGGTGCAAGCCGAGGTCGCGGCCATGGCTGCGCTTGGGTGCAGCAGCAGCCGGCGGCGGCTGTGGGCAGGCCTGGAGGCCCGGCCCTCGTGTAGTGAGGTGGTGGGGACGCCGCCGCAGCGCCGCCGTATTGCGTCATGCGCATCAACCCCGGACACCTGCCCTCGGTGGCGGCTGCGGGCACCTGTGCATTGCGTAAAACCCGTCCCAGGTGGGCATGGGCGGCATGGAGTGCTATGAGAAGGACTTTGAGGAGCCGCTGCTGGCGGAGAGCGCGGCCTACTACAAGCGCAAGGCGGCGGAGTGGATCGCGCAGGACTCGTGCCCCGAGTACATGATCAAGGTGGGCGGATCGACACATAGGGGGGAAGGGGGGGGTCGAAGCTGTTTGGGGC